AGAGAGAGAGAGAGAGAGAGAGAGAGAGAGAGAGAGAGAGAGAGAGAGAGAGAGAGAGAGAGAGAAAAAAAAGAGAGAGAGACGATACGACTACAGTGTGGCGCATGTGTTGTCAACATATGGGATTGATGAGCTTCTCCACCGTCGCCACGTACTGGTCAACCGATATATTGCACACTTCTGTGGTGTTTTCCTTGCTTGATATGTGAAACATTCATAATCGATGACACATCTTCTGTATTGGGCAGTCGTGACATTAAACACAATTGTCCTGTTTGTGTAGTTGTGACAATTGTGTACCACAATAATCGAATTGTTGCTTTGAATAAGTGCGGATTTCTTGGAACATTTATAAAAAGAAAAACATTTTTCTGCTGTCATTGAAAGGAACACTAATAAAAGATATTTAACAACACACGCACACACACACTGTATACTTTGAGCAGTAGCAAACTTGAACAAGCATTCCACATCATCAACATGAAAGCCAAAAAGTCATGACCTCCAACCAAAAGCAGAATTGCAACTCGAATCACCCCTGATGAGAGTACAGCAACGCGTTATCTGTCATCGTCTATCGTCCCTTAGGCTCACGTGAATTTTCACCTCTGATGCGAAAAAAAACAAAGTTAAGCTCTCGTTATCTCTCATGGTCTGTCGTCCCTTGGGGCCCCCACATTTATGTATGGTGTTGAAGGGGCTCATTGCTGGCTGTAGCCTCCCAGAGAGAGAGAGAGAGAGAGAGAGAGAGAGAGAGAGAGAGAGCATGTACACCGTTGTCGAGCACTCGAACACCTAAAATATTGCACATATTCCGTAAATGCGTTGTGCAGAAGTAATCATGATATGCATAGCCTGTGCATCGAACAATTGCATTCAACGCTGTCCACTACCAATGTTTGTATCACCGCTGTCCACCATGGTCTCTGGTGCATAGTCAAGCCATGTGTGAGCACGAAGTATTTCCTCTCCTGTTGATAGTGTTGGGTGCAATGTAGCACCAGAACCGCTGGCTACAGCCCCGTGCAGGAGGCAACTAAGGTCCAGGCCCCACGTAAGTGATGTTGCGAGGACAGCCTCTCTGTTGACCAAGACAAACCATGACTTCCTCATACGTGACCATCTTTTTCCGTTCGAGTATGATCTCATAATGCTCGTCAGTGATGCATACTGGACTGCGCCCTCAGATGTTGCCTCCTTCATCACGACACGCAACAGTAAATGGGGATTAGAGAATACACGTGCCAACCTAAGAATCGCATGTGCCCACCCTTTTGACGCTTGTCCTCCCCCTACTTCCATATCCTTGTAGGCATCATATTCCTCACCCTCCTCATTGCTGCTCACATCGTTGCCACTCACTTCCACCTCATATGATGGCGCCCTCGCATCTTTTTCATTGTTCCTCACTCTTGTTTCTTCAATGTCATATTCAAAATCGATCGGTAAAGAAGAGTCTTCGAACCCTCGTTCCCGTTGTTGTTCTGACATTGTCCACTCATTGAACACATCTTCTTCTTCTACCTCCTCCGTGGACATTGTGTTTATTGGAAAACGCACGATGGAGACTGTTCTCACAATTTCTTCCCCTGCTGAAGTGTGTCCATCTGCTGCATGAAAAGCAACATCTGCTTCCCTGGTCACCAACTTCCATCCTTCTTCCCTTGACCTCTTTCTGTTTACCTCAGAAGCCGCAATGCTGAGGCGATACAAAGCTGCCATGAATATTCCATCCCACAATGGAGTACCACATATGACATCCTCGTCCACACTCCGCACCCTGTAGTTAATGAGGTCCTTGCCCGCCAGTGCTTGCTCCGTCACATCATGCAATGCCTCATGTATGACATTCCGATCGTCAGGTTTCTTTTTCATGAAATCCACCAGTTGGTCGAGTAAAACATACTCCACCCCGTTTGCAATAATTACTGGAAGATATTGGAAGTCTTGCGGGGGAGCTTGCGGTATGTCCTTCAAACACGAGAGTAATAAAATTTCTGCTGCACCGCTCTTCATCTCGTCCTTAGAATCTTCAACAAGCATTCCCCATTTCTTCGCCTGTGTCATCAGCATCTGCTTGAAATCAGCTAGCGTGTATGTTCCGCCCTTCAGTTGCTTTATCATATCCACGTCTTCTTCATCGGACATCCCTTTTGTGCTCATCCAACCAACCACTTTTCTAAAACTGTATGTACTGGTATCAGCACTGTTGTCTACACGCAAATTATGCGCCTCAGAGAACCGTGCCAATAACATCCGTGCTCTGAGCGACTTCTCTCCGTTCGCAGCGATGCTTGCACGAATGTTCACTCTGACATCGAAGTAACTCGGCACTCTCTCCGTCAGTAGTCGATGCTCCCCGTCGTCATCGTAGTGGATGCCCTCCTCCGCGTATTGCATTACCTCTTCAAGAGCTGCCCTCGCCTGCGCCGCTGAAATCGACATGATGGTTGTGCTTTTGTCTATGTGTCTGTAAGTGGAACGGCAAAACGATGATTTCAAGCTCATTGAGGGTTTGTTTAATGTTGTTTGTGTGTCCCTCTGCTGGAAGTACGCGGTCGTTCGACGCTGCCAGTCAGTACACGGACATCATACGAGGGTTGGCTACTGGGTGCCATTTTTTCTTCGAATAAATGAGATCGAAATGAATCCGGCACGTAGTAGTCAACTCCTCCGACGCTGCTCTCACTCTCCACCCAAACCACTTCCCATTTGTGTTTGACAGTGGTAGGGGGTGTGCCGCGGTCCAATGACATGTTCCCCCCAACCACCCCGCCCCCCCCCAACCCCG